CCATTGCACCTGCCCAGAGACCAGCTCAGGTGAATGAAGCTTCTTGGCTATCCCAGACCAAGCTGGCCACCAGCTGAGTGGCGATGAGAACCCTCAGTCGGTGCCATAAGGAGTGAAAGAATCACCTCGCCAAGCCCGGCCTGGCTCCTAACCCACAGAGGCTGGGAGCGCTATACACTAGTTATTTTAAGTCACTGGGTTTAGAGGTAGTTTGTTATGTTCCAATAACTGGGACACTAACTTTAACGCCTATTACTCCCCGTCTCTCTTAACAAGCATCAGCTGCACTGGCCATCGTGTCAAATACACCGCCTCCCTCTGTCTGGCCTCAGCGCCTGCTCGCTGTCATTCTGCCAGTAGCACTTTCCCCCCAGCTCTCTGCTGAGCAGGCTCCTTTCATTCTTCCTGCCTCAGATCAAATATTACTTCCTTGGAGAGACCTTCACTGACCACACTATCTAAATTGGCTTCCCTGTCTCTCTGTCTCAATTTTTTTCCTTCTCTTCATCTTCTCCAAAACATTTATCTCGATCTGAAATTAATTATCTTGCTGTGTCTTTGGCTATTGTCTTCCCCCAGTTAAAATATTAGGGCCATAAAGATGGGTCTTTGTCCAACTAATTCATTGTTTGCACAGTGATTAGATAGCACAGATATATGTTCAATAAAGATTTGTTGAATGAAAAGTAATGAATGCTTATGTGGTATGTAGGTGACTGACTGCAGGATTCTGTCCATGGCCCTCAACTTAAATTGTTTTTACAGAATTTAATGAAGGAAGGTTAAAACTCCCATGTGATACAAAGGATGTTTTTCTCTGCCTCTTCCTCTGTTCTTTTTTTCCCACCTCTAATGAGATGAGCAACTACTAGGGAACCACAACAACAACAACAACAAAAACCCAACCTAGAATCCTTTTACAATATCTCAGAGACAAAACCACTGCATTGTTTTACTTGATTACCTATGTGGCTTATTTATACATTTTCCTAACTCTTACAGATGAATTAAAAGACAATTCTAAACTGAAAAAGGGAAACAAATGTTCTCTCCTGGAGGTCCACTCTACCCTTAGGCTTTGTGTGATACAATCTCAGCTCTTGACTCCCCCAGCACAGGGGCTGACAGAAAGCTTGGAGAAAGAGGTGAAAAGCAGACCCATCCCCCACCCATTTTTTGGTTTCCCCTTCATTTTCCAGTTTTTTTCACACACTTAAGGCATGAAAACAGTATATAAATATATTTTTCCCATCACCTGAAGTCAAGTCCTTACCTGCAAGCCCTTTGCACCTGCAGCCACTCTGCGAGCCTAGCCCACATCCACTCCCACCCACCCTATCCACTTACTAATCCCCTGTATTCTAACTCTCCCTTGTATTAACCCCGTCTTTTATTTTCTGTATTCTGATGCTTTGACATTTGGGGCCTGGCTGCCCCTGGAGAGATTGTCCCTCCCAGGTGAGCCAATTCTTAGAGACAGTAAACAACTCACCTGCACGCACACTTTTCAAATGCCAACCCATCCAGAGCTCACACTCAACCACCAGCTTCGCTGGGCTCATACTCCAGGGCTACTGTCCACAGCCCTAGTCACCACATGACCAGGCCCCACACGATGAGGCACATTCCCTACACCCCAGAGCCGACAGGTATTATCGACCCTAGCCTATCTACACCTGCTTACCCAGCCACGCCCATTCCTGCCCCCAGCCCCCCTTTCTCCATCTGCCTCCTGAGCAACTCGTGTGCCCACCCACAGTGTGGAGTGCCCCTCCTCTTAGAAACTGTGAGGAACACGCTGGCTGGCCAACAGCAGTCATCTCCTGACTTGCTGACCATACTACACCTCAAATTTTCAATTAATATGCTGCATGAAAGACATCCCTCTAGACTGTAAGTCAAGTCAGTGTCTCGATCCTTTGGGGGCAGCTGAAATTCGGCACTCTCAGTGCTCAGTGTTTTAAGTGGGACTTTAGCAAGATTTAAAAATTCTTGACTTAGGTCACAGATTCACTCAGGAAACATTTATCAATGCCTTGTGCGACTAGGTATTATGGAAAGCTTTGGGACAGGAGAATGAATTAAACATTTTCTCAGGCAGGCTCCTGGTAGGATAAGGACTCAAGAAATATTTAAGAAAAGGAATGAATGCATGCATGAATGAATGAATGCCTTCCCCGAGTTCACCAGCTGGAGTGCATTGCTTGTTGGATGGCCTGGTGGGTTCCATTCATAAAGCCATTGTCCACATTGGAGGCTCGAAAAGAGAATAAATTGGTTTGTCTGGTTCTGTTCCATTCTTACACAAGCTACTGGGACTGGAAATCTGCAAGATTATTCAATTTCTCCAAGATTTAATTTGTCTTCTTGAAATATCTTCACAAAACTACAGCCCAGCTATTCCTCAAAACAGCCTGAGGAAAACGTTTTTTGGGGAAAGAACATAAACATAATATTAATAATAATATTGAATACTTTGGCTTTTAACATATGCCTAGCATTGTACCAAGCATGATGTATGCATTATTTTATTTAACAATATGCCATGTATCATCACCCTTATTTTACAGATGAAAAAAGCCAAAGCTTAAATAGGGTAATTGGCTAAGTGCAGCACAGCTAATAAAACACAGTGCCAGGGTCTGACCCAGGCGGTGTCACTCCACAACACACTTATCTACCAACCGATTCCAGATGCGAGCTGAGGAACTGTAACTTTCTCGAGGTGCACTGCTCAGACCCATTCTTAAAGCCCGTTAAGGAACTTGGGCCAATCTTCATCCCAGGAGATAGCTTGCTGATTTGAAATTCTGCTACTAAATCCAGAATATGTGTATAGCAGAATCTTTCTTCTACTAGTTTATTAGAATTTGTTTTTAAGCTTGCTCTGCCTGGCCACTGTCTGCAGGGGTCTAATTGGTCACAGAATAAAATGAGCTACTAAAAAATACAAAAAGAAACCCCAGAATAATCTCCCTCCAAAACCTCTCCATAGAAGGGTGGTAAGCTCCAATAACTGTGATCATATACAGAGCACACTTTGGGGCCCAACTTGTTAAGGGAGTGAGGTGTCTGCTTCCTTCTTAGTGAACTTTCCAAGGAATTTAGTTAAAATCTGGTGACAATGACTGCCTGCCTAAGCTTTAATTATTCTTTCCATTTCCCTTAGTCTGGCTCAACACATACTGCAGAGGTCATCTATAGACTCAATTTACTGCACTGAGGGAAAGCTTATTCCTCTCTGTAAGATAAATATATTCTCACAGGCCAGCCAATGGATAATGCATTGGAGAGTCTGCATCTTCAGTTACCTTGAACCTAGGATATTTCTTAACACACATTTGCAGGAAAGACATTCATAGGACACCAAGTAGTGTGTAAATCTCAAATCTGCACTTTTGTTTCTCTCTAGGCCTGGCTACAGATTAAACAAAATTACCATACGAAGCAAACTGAACTCTTTTTTTGGCAGCTTGTGTTTCAGAATTCCCAGGAGAAACACTGAAAGCGACTCCTTTTTCTTTCTTCATCTCAGAGACAAGTCAATGAGTTGCTGAGTCAGCCTTTTGATCCTTTGCCAAGCCTCCAGCTTCCTAAGACATTAGTCAAATGGTATTTAATAGTCCTTTTTTAAATACCCAAACCTCCCCATCCCAGATTAATGTAAAGGGAGAAGACGCATCGGAGTATGTGTTTCGTTCCACAGCATTTACTGAGTGCCTACTGTGTGCCTCTGCTCTAAGGCCTTGGAGATGCAGCAGCAAATCTGTATTCTACACGGAGGGGCCTTAGACAGTACTTGTGAGTTCTTTGAAATTCCCAGTGGAACCACACCACAGTGCAGAGAGGACTTTGAACTTGACATCTTATAATTTAGGGTGAGAAGAAACCCCAGGAGCCTTTGGAGTCTTGCAGCTGCCTCCAGCTCTGGTGCCTACACTTAACTACAACCGGGTTAGAAGCTGCGGGGAGGAGGAGTGAAGCCCTCATATTTGTATGCAGGGTCAGTGCACAAGTAAGTGCATTTTCTGGGGCCGGGTTCTGTAGATTTCCTTGAATTCTCAGGAAGGTCTGAGACCCTACATAAACCGGAAGCAGTCCTGTAACGCACGAGCAGCTGGAGGAACCCAGGTGATTGCACTTGCACGTCCTTGGTGAAGAACAGTGTTTGAACCAAACAGTAATGCCTACTGGGCGCCGCACTGGCTGCGACAGCGGCTCAGACAGGTACACGCCCCGCTCCCCCTCCCCGGTGCTCTCTACATTTCCAACTTCGCTCTCATAAACTCCAGGTGAGGCAGGCCTGGAGGTGAGGGCACATCTGTTCCTGTACTACTCTGCCCGCGATGTAGTTCCCAGAGAGGGCAACTCCAGCCTCCCTTCTCAGGACCCAACTTCTGACATCTCCAATTTACCACCAAGCCTAGCTCTCAAGGGCCCTCTCCCCGCGGCGCCCAAATTCTCTGAGAGCAATAAAGACTCAACTGTACCAACCGGTCCTTTCCGGGACAGGGTGGTCGCCCCGCAGTTCCCTGAGCCAGCTGTCCGGCGGCACACCTGCGCGGAGCCCCGATCGTGCGCACCCGCGCCCCTCCACGCGCGACCGGAGCTCACTCACCGCCCGCCCTCGCACTTCCCTTCCACCCGTCGCGCCCACGGGCCGCAACTTGGGAGCGGGACTCGCGCGGGTGGGTGGCGCTCAGTACTTCACCGTCAGTCACCGTAGCGTCCGCCTCCTCCCCAGTGGGTTGCACCTCCAGCCGCAGAGACTTCGGGTTGGGGGGCAAGAGCGGCCCAGGGGCGAAGAGCTGCTCCTCGGTCAGGAAGCGCAGCTGCACGCGGTAGTGCCGGTGGGCCGGGGCCGGGGCCGGAGCGGGGGCCGCGGCCATGGTGCGCGTGCCTCAGCCCGGAGCCCTGGCGGCGCCTGGTCTGTGCCCCGGGCGCCCGGGGAAACCGCTGTGGAGGGGGAGGGACTTGGCGAGGCTAGCCACCTTCCTCACCTCCGCTGCGAGTTCGCCCTCGGAGACGCCCGCGGCTTCTCGGACACCTGCAGCACTCCACTCCTCACCGCCCCCCGACCCACCCACCCCCGGGCGCGGGAGCGCGCGGGGGACGCGCACTTGGGCGCAGCACCCCGCCGGGCTGCAGCTGAGAACACTCAAGTTTGGAGAGCGCGCGACGCACCTGGAGGCAGTTAGGGTTTGGAAGCAGAAGGGTGACACCTGCTGTTCGCCGAGATTGCTCAGCGGGCCCGGGAGTCTGTTTGGAACCGGCCTTGGCTCCGGCTCTCCGACGGGCCTCGCTCTTGTGGAGGTTTTGGGGCTACTGGCGCCCGCTTAGGAGCAACGGGCCCAAGTACCATGTTCTTTCCTCACTGACAGGGTCCCGACCGCAGCAGGGAGGTGATGGGGAATCCCGGGGGTTCGGGCAACTCGCTGGGTATGAGTGACGAAAGATCGCTTTCGTCTCCCCTCACTTAAGTTGGAATTGAAAACTTGCTGCTGGACTGGGAGCATTTCCCTAGAAGAGGGTCGGGCGACCAGGGACTCATGTCCTCAGGTTGACGCCTGACGCCAGCAGCTACCTCCCCTAGGCAGCCGGCTCCAGCGTCAAAGGACGAAGCCTGGAAACCCTGGGGAACCAAGTCACACCTTGTTGGTCTCCCTTGTTGTTGCAAGCGATATGATTTCATTCCTTTTTATGGCCAAGTAATATTCCATTACATATAGATACATAAAAGGGCAATATATATCATGTTCCCACCATACTCTCAATAAATCTGGAGTTCCGTTACTTAAAACAAAGTAGTGGCAGTCTTTCCCACCCCCCCCAATCCCCCCCCCCCCGCATTAACGCGTAGAACAGAAACTCAACTTAAGACTAACCGGAGCAAAAACTCAAAATATCGTGATTCACAAAAACGCTGGGAAGTCTATGCGTTGTTCAGGCCTATATTTAGGGACTCAATTCAAGTTGACCAGATGGTTTTGTCTCCACCTTACAGACAGGCCGTAGTCCCGTGCTGGAAGCAGTCGCTGATACCTGAACCCTGAACCTTGCAGCAAAGGCAAGGCTCCTTCTCTAACTACCAGGCAGCCTGGGACATTTGAAGACGACTGGCTTGCTGTGATGGGTCTGCCCCACTTGTGACTCGGATCAGGGAGACTGGAAGCCTTCCCAAACTCCCATCATCTGGCTGAGGGAAGAGCAGAAAACCGAAGGGCAGAGGCAACTGGGGGCACAATGTCTACCCCACGCGTGCTCACTCCATGCCTGGCACTGTTGTAAGCACACTACGTGCGTTAATTCGTTTACTCTTCCCCTTCCCTGTGAGAGACACACTGTTATTACCCCCATTTTCACTGATGAGGAGACTAAGGCACAAAGATTAACTCCTCCAGAGCCACAATTTACAAGAGGCATAAGTCCTCTACAATAGAGCAGATAGAAAAGTAAGACCATGGATAGCCCCTGTATCACTTCTCAAAGTTAAGAGCTGTTAGACTAAATTCTTGGTATTCCAAATGCATACAGTTCAAGACCTTTGAGCACCCAGAACTATGATCACAGGAATATTTTAAAGGTTCTCATTTCCTTTCCTCTCATCCTGCCACCCTCACACGGACTGTTAAGAATTGCCTAGACCTTCCCTCAAGTGTTTCCCTTCCAGTAGTTGTTTTGCACCTGAGACATTTGCACCCTATGCGAGCAAGCATAAACAGCGGAAAGTCCACGAATCATATTTTCTTATGTCTTTATTGAGTGTAAGGTAGATTCAATCACATCATCTATTTGAACCACCACTGGATTTGACTTATTTTTAATTTATCCGAAACTTGTTTTCTAACAGCCATCACGCTCCTCCACCTCTTCATTTCTGTCATCAGCACCTTCTTTGCAGGCCCACCCAAGTTTCTAAAACTAATTCCAGAATTCCCGAGGAGGGAGAGGCTCTCCTGCCCACAGCCGGAAGTTGATGAGAGCGTATGGGCGGGCTTATCTGCTGCGCTCCGGTCTCTGGTCTCTGCTCTGCCCGCCGAGGTGCGTGCCGGGGCAGGCTGTGCCTTACTAGCTGTGTGCACAGATCGAATGGAAGTCAGAGGATCAAACTAGGGAAACCAAGCCATGCTCCAGATTCTTCCTCTTTCATAACTTCCAGAAAGCGTAGGTCACTCGTGCGCATTCCCAGCTGATGCTGAACAAAGTGATGCTCCACCTTCCAGTTACGACAGATATATTTGCAGGTTGTTATTGGCAAGAGGTGCAAGGGAGTCCCACAAGGTCGGGAGTTCAAGGACCGCACACGCCATGCTGAGTCCATTGGGAGGCTTGGGAGGAGGAAGATTTGGGGCCCAATAATCAGTCCTGCTGCGTATCACCTGGGTAACCCAGGTAAATTAGCTGCTTTGAATTTATGGAAGCTTGCAGGGGTGTCCAACCCACAACCGGCGGGCTGCAGCGGCTCAGGACGGCTACAAATGTGGCCCAACACAAAATCATAAACTTACTTAAAACATTATGAAATGTTTTTGTGATTACGTGTCACAATGTGTTTACTGTGTGGCCCAAGACAACTCTTCTTCCAGTGTGGTGCAGATGCCAAAAGGGTGGACACCCCTGTAAGCCCACAACGACCCTGTGAGCTCATTGTGGGAACTACCTGACACTGTTCAGCAAGCCCTAAATATGTAGTGGCTATTAGTAGTAGTGTTACTCAATAAAGAAAATATGAAAAAGTAAAAAGACAACAGTTTAAATCACCATATTTCCTTACCTGAAAGCAATCATTAGAATTATTTTAGAAGCATTATTTCTAACATTTTTCTTCAGCCAGCTCATCTTAGCTTTCAGCGAGTTTTTATTGAAGGAAAAGACTCACACGTATGAGAGATGCCTGTAGAATTGACTCCATTTCCCCCAATAAGAGAATAAAGACTTATTAGTTACAAAGGCATGTGAGTTTCAGCTTTTACCGAGTTTTGTTTTTGTTCTGTCATTTATTTATGACTTATGATTTATACTGTAGTCATGTCCACAGGCACATTGGCATATTCTATCAACTACCAATTGAACAATGGTGTATTTCCAGATGCATTTGTATGAAGGTGAAAGCAAACATAAAACACAGTTTGGAGAAAACTGAGAAGAGGGTTGGAGGGCAGGAGAGGCGTTTGAGGACTAACGTGATTATTATTAATCTGCCAATCCATGTGTAAATCCGGGGTCCGAGCCCTTGTAATAGTCAGTTTCAAAGCAATGACCTTGCTGATCACCTGCCTGGAGTTTTACCCAGAGAGAAGGTGTGTTTGTATGAGATCTATGCGTGAGTTCTCCGGAGGCACTTGATCTCCAAGCAGAGGCACTTGATCTCCAAGCAGAAATTACAAGGCTGACACAGCAAGCTTACTGGTCCACCTCTAATTCTCTCAGCAACTCATCACCAACCATAACACACTCGATTATCAGATTTACTAGAGAACATAGAAAGAATAAAATGGATGATACCAAAAACATGCGTCAGCATATATTTTACTAATGCACTCTGTTGCCACCCTTCAAGGCCAGACAGGTTCACGGTATCCGTGCGGGCGGAAGAATATTCACGGAGCCGCTGGGATGTCTGGCATGCCTTTATTCATGGGTGGGTGAGCCACACATGCTGCAAGCTGCCTGTCTATCTGCATGTCTCATGTCGTGGCCCCTGCTCCCCAGCGTGGCATCCATCGTGGCACACGTCCCCTTGCGTGCTTCTCTTCATCACTGACCCCAGCAGGGAGTCCTTACCTGCTTAAGTACTAGAGGGGAACGAAGCCAGCAAGATGACAGGAATTATATAACATAACATAGTTCTGCGCATGTGAGCCCACTTCACATTATGGGAACAGTTTATCGGACCCAGTCTCAAGGCTATGAGAACACTGGTTATCAGGCACCTCCAAGGCTATGGGAACGCTGGTTTCCTTAGTTACCCAGACCCCTGGGCGAGCAAGCCAGACTGCCTCCACTTACCCTACATGCACCCATACCGTTTTCAACTTCTTCCAGTTAATGCTTCCTGCCAGTTCTAATATTCTATATATGTAGAGCAATAGCTGATATTTATTCATTGGTCTACATTCATTCTCATTTCCAAGTATCCGATGGTTGCAGATTTACCTTTAGGCAAGTATGAGCGCTAGCCCACATTTTAAATGGCAATAGAGGTCAAGTTTATCATGCATAAGAATCTCCTGAAGAGATGGTTAAAAACGCAGATTGCTGAGCGCCACTCCTGAGTCTGATTTAGCAGACCTAGTTCGTGCCCAAGAACTTTTATTTCTAATTCTATTTCTAACAAGATCTCAGGTGTTGCCAGGGCTGCTGGTCTGCCTCCTGTGGGCCGCACTTAAAGTAGCTCTGTGCTAACGTTGGGAGGAGTTGTGGCTGAAGCCTGGCTATGTGTCAAAGCATGCAGCAGCTCATCCAGGCAGCTGGTGAACTGCACGCAGGAAATAGAGGGTAGCTGCATCCTTCAATTACAAGTGTGTGGTATTCGCCAGTGGTTAGTTTTGCCACAGACATTTTGAACTATTTCCACGTCATTTCAAAGTTATAATAATAGCGTATTTATCTTTTCAGGGACATGTTGACACAAAATTTCCAGAAGGGGCAAATACAAGACAGTAGCATGGTTTTAAAAAGCTCATAAACCAACCCATCAGCACTTCCCTTTCACTTGTATTTCATTGATTGCAAGCATCTGGGGTGTAGTACAATGAGCACTTCAACTTCTTTCGTGTTTTCAGGTCCTAAATTGCAAAGTGAGGACGGTAACTAATCTAATCCCAAAGACTGGATGTGAAAATTAAGTGAGTAATGCATATGAAAGCAACAACACTGATCAGGGAAAAGGTCCTTGACTCCCCCATTCTCTCAGGCACCTCACTCTTTTCCTTCAGAGTACTCATCATAGACTATAACTATATAGGTAGGGTGTGTGCGTGTGAGATATATATAAATATATAATTAACATCTCTCCCCCCCCACTGTTGTAAACTCCATGAGCATCACTGTTGAATCCACAATGATTAATCTAGTTCATGGTGCAAAGCAAGCAATCAAAAAATACTTACTGAATGAAAGACAATATTTGGTCTATGGTAGAAACTCAATAAATGTCAATTTAAAAATGGATAAACACAAATATTAGGTGCAATTAAAATGAGAAATTTGAAGAGGTGAGGCATTCTTAATAATTAAGGATCTGAATCCAATACCAGAACTGGCTGCCAGGCTAACAGCGCACTTGCAGGGGACCGCTGAAGTTTCCAGCTGCAGGCTGCGCAGCAGAGCTGACACCTGAGTGTTCAAGAGCTGGGTCCC